TTATAATATATATATATATATATATATATATATATATATACATACATATATATACTGTAATTTTCCTCCAGTAGAGTTCTGATTGATGCTAGGTCAAATGGGTACTGTCTGCAAGTTTGGGTGTTCTTGTGCATCTCCCTCACTTCATATTAGCTGGATGCTTCACTCTCAGCTCTTGCCCTCTGTGGCTATGTCCTTGTCCATGGGCTCAGGTGTTCCCAGGTCTCACACTTTGGACCAGTCAGTGTCATCAGTCTCTCTCATCTCCAGGTCAATGGACTGTGGTTGAACTCAGCCCATTTCTTCATTGCTGCCTTTCCCCCTCTTCCACTCACCACTAGACCAATGTGATCACCAGCAAGCTTACATGCCTGCTCATGTGTTCCCTTTGAGTTTCAGTCTTAGAGGGGGATTTGTCCTGAAGGAACTGATTGCTTGCCTTGATGGCTTCTGGTGAACAGCTTGCTTATTCTTGTAGTAGGTCAGTCATACTGATATTTTTGTTTTGGGTTTTTCCTGATCTTTCTTTGAAGATGTATCATCTATTGCTCTAGCTATTCCAGGCTGGTCTGCTTGTCCTTTCTAGTGGGAATATCCCACCTCAGAAGGTTCTGGATGGGATTCAGGATTCCACCTAAGGTCCTATACTCTGCAAAGGCTTTAAAGAAGCCTATTTCACTGGGCAAGTTCTTGAAACCCTTTTAAATATTCCAATCAGTTATAGGCTGAAGACGGACTTACAAGATCTGAGTAAGCATGTTTCCCAAGATTCCTTCCTATTCCATTCAAGTGTCTATTTTACAATAATAGGCAAGGGAAACCAATATTCAGAAGACAGTCGAGTATCTTATTATTATTTCCCCTCTTCAAACTAGATGCCTGTATCAAAGAGCCATTGTTCCACTTAGCCCATGCAAACCTAGCTCAGTGTTCTCCTATCTACCTTGTTGTTCCACCTCTTCCCCCTTCTTGTACTGCCCTCCGCAACACCCTAACTATGATGTGTCTGCCCTTACCCTGAGCAATACCGTTGCCTCCCTCCACTTCCCTCTAAGACCCCCACCCCAACCCCACCATTGTGGTTACCTTATATTCCATTAACTTTTCCCTCCATTTAAGACAGTCTATTTTATCCTGTAATCTACCTGATCTTCTTACCACCTGGACCTCTGTTCCTCTGTGTTTACCTTCTTTGTCATTCTAATTGTTCTGCTCATAAACTGACCTATTAGATCCTCTGAATTTGTTCTTTAAATAGTTTTATTCTCTTCGAGACTCTTCCATTTGTCGATTGAGTTTCAGGTGATGCTGCCACGTACATCAATATCTGGTTGTTGTCTGTTCTTGTTGGTTCTCGGTCCACAGAACTTCCTTTAGGATTTTTTCATCACAGGGTTGGCTTTGACAAAATCCCTTAGCTTCTGTTTATCCTGGAATGTTTTGATTACACCATCGTATTTGATTGACAGCTTTGCTGGATAGAGGATTCTTGGTTGGCAGTTTTTTTCTTTTAGGGTTTTATGTATATCTCCCCATTGCCTTCTTGCCTGCATGGCTTCTGTTGAGAGATCAGAGCTTAATCTGACTGCTTGCCTTTGTATGTTACACTTCTCTTTCCCTAGCTGCTTTAGGATTCTGTCCTTATCTTTGATTTTGGAGCACTTGATTATTATATGTCTTGGTGATTTTCTTTTAGGGTCTATCCTTCCTGGGGTTCATTGAGCTTCTTGAATGCTTACCTTTTCACTTTTCAGGATGTTAGGAAATTTTCTTCCCGCAGTTCTTCAACGATCTCCTCTGTGGACCTGTGTGATTCTTCCTGTTCCGGAATGCCAATAATTCTTAAGTTATTCCTCTTCATGTTATCCAACATGAATCTCAGACCGTCTTCAGAATTTTTAATCCATGTTTCTGCTTGTTCTTCTATCTTAGTAGTATTGAGAGATTTATCTTCTAGCTCACTAGTTCCTGGCTTCCATCTCTTCAATTCTACTCCTTTGCCCTTTCAGTGTATTGTCCAATTCTGAGATTCTATTAATCGTTTGGACCTCTTCCTGCAGGTTTTGAATTGTTTCCAACGCTGTGTCTATCTTATTTGATTGTTCTTGTAGCAATTTGCTGACTTCTTCCTTATTTTTACTAATTCCATTGTATAATGTCTTGATATATTTCATAATCATTTTCCTGAATTCCTTCTCAGGCATTTCCAAAGCCAGCCCTCCTTCCAGTATGGAGTATAAGTCTACCTCCAGCTCATTTGCCTCAGTCACTTTATCTCATTTCTGGGCATGTGCTGATATGGTCATCTGTTTTTTTGGCATATTCAGTAGTTAGTTGTGGTCTTAATACTTAGATGGGTGTTTTGGGGTGTTTTTGATGCTTTCTGATTGCCTCCAGGTAGATGTGCTCAGGAGACAGGCTTCCCTTTTCACACTTCTTCCTGAGAAATTTCACTGTAGGTCGATATGATGTAACTCAGGATTTAATTTCAGCTTGTTTCCTTTTTAGTCTGCCTGTCCAGCTCCACAACCCCCGTTCGGCCTTTTTCCTAGTGATAAACAGTTCAGGGCCGGCTGTGGTCGTTTTGCGCTGCTGTTTAGTTTTAAGTGAAACTGTCCCTTTAAATTTCAAGGAGATCTGTGCTCATGAATAACTGAACTCTCCAGGGGTGGGGGTGGGGTGTCCACTCACTCAGGCACCCCCTCAAGTCACCAGAATGGAGGTGCGCATTCAGAGAGACACCAATGAACAGATACAATAAAAAAGAATGTCCACACCTTTATCTCCGCAGTTCTGTCAGGGGTCCATGATCCTGGTGGCTCTGATCCTTCCCTGGTTCGGTCTCACCCAAGATGGCCACCCAGGAAGCAGCTGAGCGCCTTGGATTAGAAAGCACTGGATTTCTTGCTTCTGCTACAAATATAAGCCGTCCAACTTTCTAAATATTCCTTTATATGTGGTTCAGAGTTCTGGGACCATCCTCTGCCTGAGTCTGCTTGGTCTGGTATTCTGTGTTGTTGCTGATGGAGTGCCTCACTGTACTTCTACCCTATCCACCATCTTGTTTGTTTTCTCCTTCTTCAGGTTCTCTTATATAACCATATAGCACAAATGACTGTACTATACATCTGTATCTACATATGTCTAGTAACCTTAACAGGGATCATCAACTGATGAAGGAGAGTTGCTAAGAGAAAAGAATATTATTGATACTGTGCCAACGAATCACCCCACAGATTCTTTACTAACACTGAAAAGGACAACATAACTTTACAATGGATCAAATGATCAAACTGAGTATCACTGATGTTGGTAGAGCCTGATTATTTTGGACCTCCTAGTCCTAGTGTATGGAGTCCTAGTGTGGTGTTGCAGATTAATGCACCATACTGCAATGCCGTTTGAACTGCAAGGACAGCAGTTCAAAGTCATCAGTTGCTCCTCAGAAACCCCATACAGGGTCGCTATGGGTCAGAACCAACTTGGCACTTCACAACAATGTGATATACTATCATCTCCCATGAATTATTCTTGTCAAAAATATTTACTCTAAATCTAATCAAACTTAGCCATGGCACAAATAATATATGCATACCCTTGCTCATTGCAACACTTTTCACAATAACAAAAAGATGAAAACAACCTAAATGTCTATCAATGGAAGAATGAATAAACAAACTATGTTATATACACACAATGAAATACTACACATTGTTAAAGAATACTGAGGAATCTGCAAAATGCCTCATAACATGGATGAACCTGGACGACATTATGCTGAGTAAAATTAGTCAATCATAAAAAAGACAAATATTGTAAGATACCGATATTGTAAAAAAGTTAAGAAAAGGTTTTCACCTAAAAGAAACATTCTTTGATGGTTATCAAGGGTGGGAGGGAAAAGAAGGGTAAATTACTAACTAGAGGGTTGTTGTTGTTAAGTGCCATCGGGTCGGTAACAATTCATAGTGGTCATATGCACAGCAGAATGAAACACTGCCCGATCCTGGGCCAACCTCACCACCGTTGCCATGCTTGAGTCCACTGATGCTGCCACGTTGCTAATCCATCTCACTGGGGGGTCTTCCTCTTTTTCTCTGACCCTCCACCTTACCAAACATGATATCCTTTCTCCAGTGACTGGCTCCTCTTGACAATATGTTCAAAGTATGAGAGACGAAGTTTGGCCATCCTGGCCTCCAAGGAGCACTCTGGCTGCACTTCTTCCAACACAGATCTGTTGGTTCTTTTGGCAGCCCATGTCACTTTCAATATTCTCCTCCAACACCATAACTCAAAAGCATCAATTCTTCTACGGTCTTCCTTCTTCACTGTCCAGCTTTTGCATGCACATGAGGTTATTGAAAATACCCATGGCTTGGATCAAACGAACCTTAGTCCTCAAGCTGACATCTTTTCTCTTCAACACTTCAAAAAGGTCTAGTGCAGCAGATTTGCCCAATGCAATTCATAGATGCCTATTAACTTGGATGAAGTAGAAGGCAATGTACACCAGGGAGGTAAGCAAAGAATGACAGAAACAGAGAAAGACACTGGGAGGAGTGCAAGAGTCAAAAGCAACAAAGGTGAATATTGTTATATTGTAGGCTATATATACACAATCCTGCAATAATGGTGATCTTACTAGAGGATATATGGATAGACACAGAGGCTGAACAGGTATGGAAGGAAAAGTAGACCTATGCCTATGAATACATGTAGGTTTGACAGAGAATATTTCTACACATGAAGTTTCCTATGCAGCAAATATATCCATGAATGTGGTGAAGCATACAGGGGGCAAAGTTATGGAAACTTCTTAGACATACCCAAACACCTCGAGTGAATCAGTCTCTGGGTCTGGGGGCTTAGGACCATGGTTCCAGGGGACACCAAGGTCAACTGCCATAGTACAGTCCATAAATACAATGCTATATTCTACTTTGGTGAGCAGCAATTAGGGTCTTAAAAGCTTGTTAGCAATAGTCTCTCTCTGTCTGGAGAAAGAAGAGGGATGAAAATCAAAGACACATAGAAGCAACTACTACAATGGATTAATGGGACATGTGAACATCAGTCCCATGACCCTGAGACCAGAAGAACTAGATGGTATCGCCACTAATTGCTCTGAAAGGAATAACATTAGAAGGTCCTGGATAGAATAGGAGAAAAATGTGGAATAAAATTCAAAATGATAATTAAAAAGACCAAGTTTACTGGTTGGATAGAGACTGGTGGAGCCTTCGACCCTTATTTACCTTTAAGGTTTGGAACTGAACTCACCCAACAGCTCAATTTTCAGCCAAATAACTGGCAGGTCCATAAGGGGAAAAATAACACTTAAGGCCATATGCACTCTTTATAATAATCAACCATTAGAGATGAAAAGGGTGCCATTTACCCAAGGACAAAGTTCAAAAGGATTAGGGAAGAAGGAAGAACACACACAGGAGAGAGAAAATGGGTTAAGTGATGTTACGTTGTGGAGATTGCAATCAATGAGATACAACAAAATGTGTAATAATTATTGAATGGAAAACTGACTTGCTCTGTAAGACTTCACTCAATTCACAATATAAAACAAATAAGTCTAATCAAACCTCAATCTAGACCTACCACTCAGTTTACAGGAAACAGAGAGGATAAAGAAATAAGTTTATCACAGGGGGGATAACCTCTGGAAGGGAGGATGTCATACAAGGCAACTTGCCTAGAGTCTTCAAAAAATTATTATCTCTACCCAACACACCTGTAAAAGGGAGTGAATCTGTTTTTTATATTAAAAGAAACTAGTGATACAGAACCATTTATAATGACTGAACCTTGATTAGATCCTATTTCACTAAAATAGCTTAGAAATAACTGAAGTGTTTTAAATACCAGTTGCATGTTGTTATTGTTGTTAAGTGCCTGATATGGAGTCGGTTCCGACTCACAGCAACCCTGTATAAGGTTTCCACAGAACAGCTGCTAAGTTTGAACCACCAACCTTATAGTTCAAACTGGCCTTGCGGTCCAGTGCTTTATCCCACAGCATCACACCACCAAGACTCAGATGATAGTATGATATTATCAAAATTTGTTTTAAGTATTGTGGTTATGCAGAAGAACTCTTACCTTAGGAGATATATGTAGAAGTATTTAGACTCATGTCTCCAACTTAATTTCAAGTAGTCCAACCAAAAAGTTAAGTAAAACAAAAATGGCAAAATGTTATCAACTGTTAATTTAGGTGAAAAGTACTCTGCTAGTCACAATGCTTTCCATTCAACTTTTCTGTAAGTTTGAAATTTTTCATTATAAATGTTGGGGAGAATAAAAAATAAAAACTTCCAAATAGTGTATAATCCCATCATAAAACTCATTTTTGAGTCTTATGTATGGAAAACATGCCAGAGAATAAACTAAATAAGTCCAAGTACTTGAGAAAACATTGGACCTGTGCTCTGCAAATCAAGAACATAAAATTGTTGTTGTGCTTGGGAAATCCTGTGTATACATACCGGTTAAAGCAGGGGGAAGTAGGATCAGTAAAGTGTTTATAAGGGTTTGCTCTAGACAGAGAACCCATGCAAATCCAGCAGAAATACTGCATACAGCTAGTACACGTCATCTTGTTGCACCCATCTAATTTCTGGTGGGAGGGATAGAAAGAGAAAAATACTAGGGCTGTAAAAACAAAAGAGAAACACTTGACAAAAAATTCAATACTTTTTTCTAGTCTTCTCCTTTTACTCATTCAGGATTGAGATATACAGGTAATGTTTCAGTGTTTTTATTACTTGCAATGCAAGATAAGCCTTAAAGAAAATAATTTAGCACGTCCTCTGACTACTAGACCCTTAGAAAAATCTGAGCAACAGTACACATAAGCTATATCTATCTATCTATCTATCTAGCTAGCTAGCTAGCTAGCTATCTATGTGTAATATAAAACATGTAGTAACAGATTGTTAAAATGTTTGTATTTAAAATATGTGATTTTTAATTTGCTACCCAAATCTAAATACCAAATCCCCTCTCTATCAAAGGATTGAAATATACCAAAAGTGACTAAACATAATGCCAAATTACTTCATGGAGCAAGTGGAAAATTACCATTAGGTTTAGATACAGTAGACTGAACAGCAGAATTAAGAGGAAAACATATTTCAACTTTGAAATGTAGTAAGGTTTATCTAATTATTTTAGATCTGGTTGATGGAAAAAATGTCACCATTTCCAGAACAAGTAATTGTCTGTCAGTTGTCGTGCTGCTGAGATTCTGGAAGTTATGCCACCAGTATTTTAAATACCAAATAAGGCCAACCATGGTGGACAGGTTTTAGCTGAGCTTCCAAAGACAAACCAGGAAGACAGTCATTTCTCAAGCTGAAGGAACTGAAGAAAAAATTCAAGCCTTGACTTGAAATATTGAAGGATTCTATGGGCAAAATATTGAATGATGCAGAAACCATAAGAAGATAGATGGAATACACACAGTCACTGTACCAAAAGAAGTGACTGATGTTCAACTATTTCAAGAGGCAGCACTTGACCAAGTGCCAACGATATCGAAGGAAAAAGTCCAAGGTGACTAAAGGCATTGGCAAAGAACAAGGCACCAGGAATTGATAGAATAAAAACTGGTATATTTCAACTAACTGATGTGGCAGTGGAGGCACTCATTCATCTATGTCAAGAAATTTGCAAGACAACTACTTGGCAAACTGACTGGAGGAGGTCCATTATTTGTGCCCATGCCAAAGAGAGGTAACCCAACAGAATGTGGAAATAATCCAACAGTATCATTAATACCCCATGCAAGTAAAATTTTGCTTAAGATAATTAAAAACGTCTGCAACAGTACATTTACACAAAAATGCCAGAGTTCAAGCCAAATTCAGACAAGAACGTACAACTGGCTATAGTTGCTGTTGTTGTCAGGTGCTATCGAGTCTGAACCGACTCATAGCGACCCCAAGCACAGCAGAAAGAAACAATGTCCGATCCTGGGACAACCTCACTACTGCTGCCACACTTGACGCCATCAATGATGCCACCTGGCTGATCCATCTCGTTGGGGGTCTTCCTCTTTTTCTCTGACCCTCCATCTTACCCA